TCGTATTCTGTTAAAACTATTAAAAATAATAAGCAAAATGTTTATGTTCCTGAAGTTGTTTTTTATTTTTTTGTGAGTGATTTAAAAATATTAAGAGTGAATTAAAAATTTTGCAATTCACTTGTGGATAACAACTTATTTGTTAGACTTATTAAGGATTTAATAAACGCAGTTTAAAACGTCAAAATTGAATAAAAGTGTTTTGCTTGAATATATTAATAATTTATAAGAAAGAAAAAAATGACCAATGTCACTAGTACATGCCAACCATTTTTATTTTTGTGTACAATTATTAGTATTATATGAATCACATACGAATGCTACGAAATATTTGAATCTTCATGTTTCCCGGGAACGGGCTGCCAAGGTCACACCCGTTCCGCAAATATTGCTGAAGTTTCGTTACTGATCTACTGTGGTGAAGCTATTAGCCACATAGCAAAATTTTTGAATTTTTTCAACATAAATCATTAGTAAGTTGTATGTAGATAATTCTAAGCATTCAACTAAAATATTATTTATATATAATAATAACGTTCATTATTTTGGCGACTAACTGCATGAAAGAAGCCAGTTTGTTTAAAAATTTCATTTTTCTTAAACTGTTTGTTCATATATATATATCGTTTTGTAAGGATTTAAATAATTAATTACAAATTTTTAATACAAGTAGCTGGAATTTTTTGTTCATATTAACTTTGACTGCACTTGGTTTTCTAAAGACATTATCGAAATGATTCGTCTAAAAAACAATAATTGGAAAAGTTACAAAAAGTCTGATTTGAATATGTATCTTTTGAGGGTAAATTTTTTGAGAAAGCAAATTAAAAACGAGGTTCGTAAGGAATATAATAACTTTATTAAATCAACACAAGTAAATCTTCAAACGAGTCCTTCCAAATTCTGGTCTTATATAAACATGAAGAGAAATACTTCCAGTATTCCCGGAAGTATGGTATACGATGGTGTTGAATTTAACTTTGCCGAAAAAATAGTGCAGGGCTTTGCATCTTATTTTAGTAGTGTATTTGTTGAGGATGAGTGTGATAATTTAACAAGTTGTGATATGGTCTGTGATAATATACGTGTTTTGCATCAGTTTACCATAACAGAATGTGATATCTTAGCTGCTGTGAGGAAATTTAAAAATAATTTGACGATGGGTCATGATGAAGTACCGTCATTTGTTATGAAAGACTGTGTAAATGTTTTTAGCATACCTTTGTGTCACATATTTAATTTGATTGTGAAGTATAAGGCTTTCTCGAATCAATGGTAATCTCATTTCCAGAGTTAGGCAAACCAGAGATTTAGGTGTCATCATTAATGAATCTTTGTCATTTATTCCACATGTGGAAGTTATATGTTCGCATGCTATGAAGATGTTGGGTTTTCTTAAACGTAATATTACTGGCTTTGAAAATGTAGACTGTCTGCTATCCTTGTACAATTCTCTTATAAGATCTAGATTGGAGTTTGCGAGTGTTGTATGGTGTTCTCATTATTATGTACATATATACTCCATAGAGGGTGTACAAATTCTGTAAGCATATCTTTTATATAAAGTATAGAACATACCCGCCATCTATGTATAGTACCTGTGATTTATATTCTTGTGTTAACATCAGAGATTTCTTAGTAACCTAGATACGGTGATCCTATGCAAAAGCGAACATACGTTCTTGGCCAACATGTACACTATGCGTTTTGCTTTCCATCTTCTTTTACAGCATGGGAACGCAGGAGTATGATTTTGTAGATCTTTGTTTAAACCTAGCAATTTACGATTTTGCGCAGTAAACCCTTAAATTCTGCCAGCGCAAGTCGGTTCTTAATTCATACAATCGCTGGTGTTTGTGTGTTTGTTAGTTTGTTCTAAGAGATTTCTTAGGTTATAAGATTTATATCACGGTTATAAGTTTAAATTGCATAGAATTTCTAAAAATGGGTTATAGAGTGTGTGTTGTATGCAAAGAAAGATCTAATAATTCTTTTGTTTCGCAAAAATATTACAAAGATTTTTAATAATCCCGACATGAACAATCATTGCATTTCTCAGGGATTACTAGATAATCACAAAATACAATTGATGAAGGCAATAACGCAAATGTATTTAAAAGTCCGCTTGCATCACGAAGCAAAACTGGTAAATTTTGCTTCAAAACAGGCGAAAATAGAAGTAAATTAAAGTCTTTGCCATTTCTATTGAAACACCACTTGTTGATCGTAAATTTGGCAACGTTCATATTCACACAATTTTCTAACTAAAAGCCGTTGTCAATCAACCGAAAACTGCTAGTAATTGCTCAATTTTAGGCAAAATCAACAGGTGGTGTTTCAATAGAAATGGCAAAGACTATAGTAAAATACATTTTCTTTAATAATGAGTAACTAAGATTACATTAAATCACCAATATTTAATAATAATGTTAATACATTTATACCACAGCTGTACGTCTTTTTTCTTTTTCGTTTTAAGCTCTTAACATTCTGCATGCAAATAAATACAATACGATTCTCTATTTATGTTAGAAACGTTCGTGGCAATAAAAACTTTTGACTATAAGAAAATTGTATTATGTCATTTTTCAAGAAATGGTGCGAATGATAAAAAGTACGAAAAAAGGGCAGTCGACAGTCAAATTTATTCCAACGATCTTGTCCGTGTAATATTTTAATCTTAACATTACAAATCATTTTGGAGATTGCTTAGAAACTTTTCGTTTGCCACTTGTTAAAAAACTCGAGTTATGATTCTCTTTTATACCATTTTAAATCAATGCGCCAAATTATCAACCAGTATTAACAGTCGCTAGAATTAGAAGAAGATAACACTAGTATGTAGTGCACATTACAACGAGTAAGAGAAAGACAGAGAACTGAAAGTATGTCGACACTATTTTCATACATGTTGTTCCACACTTTGCTGCCCATAGTCGTATCTAGGTTACTAAGAAATCTCTGGTTAACATAGAATCCGTATATAACAGGAGGAAAATTGCTTGTTGTGTTTTTATTTTTAAATTGATTCATAATTTAATACAGTGTAGTAGTTTATTAGAAGACATCTATCTTCATGTACCTATAGACTAGGCAGCCGTAATGCTTCTGTGTTTACGGTACCTATCTCTAGAACAAATTACCAATTTTTTTCGCCTATGTTGAATATGTGCAGAAATTGCAATAACATCTGCAATGAAGTTGATTTTTTTGGTGGTAATATGAAAATCTTTTATAATACTTGCAAGCGTGCAGTGATAGTTGGTAGTAATTAGATTTCTTATAAATAGCTTAATTTGGATTTTTGTTATTTTTTTTCTTTTTGTTACTTTAATGTTTTATTTGTATTTTGGTTTGGATTTTTATGTTTAGGTATCGTATATTTATATTGTTTAAGCAGCTAAGCAGCAAACTTTTCTTGTTCTAATTATTCCTGCAAGACCGATGGTCTGTTGGATTTTCAATAAATTTATTTATTTATTTATTTATTTATTTACTTATATTTATTTATTTATTTATTTAATTATGTATAGCATACTTACTATGCGTGCTCATCGTATAGTCCGGTCAAAATAGATATAAAAATAGTGATGAAATAACAAAAACTCCAACAGAGCTGAATTTTGCTAGAGACCTTGGGTACACCAGTAGACATAAAATAAAATGTCAAAAGTCCCCATAGCTCCCATGTGTGCTAAAAGTTATTCAAGGTCAAAGGTCAAAATTTTTGTTTTTTTGGATTTTTCTCCAAAGCGGTAAGTTTTATCAAAAATATAGTTCAGACAAAAATTATAGAGCATCAAATTATCTACAAAACTGGTTCTTATACTTTTTTCCCTAATAATCACCATTTCTAAGATATCGCCGTTCTAAAAGTTGAAGGAGTTGCATTCTGCATGATATGCACACATTTCCACACCACCTGTGAGGTAGTGTACCTGGCGCGTTTTTTCTAACGTGGTTTACCCAGTAGGTCTACGATCTGTTATGATGAAGTTTTATGGGAAAATACTGTATTTACTGCATGATGATTATTAATTTTGATATTGATATAGTTGATTGATTTAAACTTCATATAGTTCTAAACAGGAAGGAAAAAGCGAATGCCTTTTGCGACTTATCGTTTGAGGAGACGAGTCAATTTCTTTAAATACTCTAGTGCAATCAATTAAGCCCTTTTTTTCAAATTATTTCAGTACTGATGTTTCAACCCTTCTGAATATTGCTGATGTAGTACCGCAGCCGGTTTTGGCACTTTGGATAAGGAGATAAACTTCTTAAAGAATATATTTCTGTTCGCTGCTGAGTCTGCCGGTCATTTCCGGGTCAGTGGTGGGTCTTAACAATATTAATAATATTATTATTATATCGTCTGGAGCATCTTGTGTTCTTTTATTGAGACGAATTGCTTCTAAATACACAATTAGATAGATAGTTAAAGTAATTTTGTGGAAAAGATAACTTACGGAGCATGGCTTCAGATACGTTTGTGCGTTTGAATGATTTTTTACCCCTAGCCCCTTCCCAGCTCAACTCTTGCCCTAGGATATTAATCATTAATTTATACATTAACTGTTTGGCCATTAATTCAGGCGATTCCCCTCCAGTACGACTTAAATATCGCGCCTGAAAATAAAGCATGGTTGACTTCCAATAAAAACATTTGCAAAACATATATATATGTATACTAACAAATGACTTCAAATTGTTTTCGGTGCTATCATCGTGTATATTATATTTAGTATGCGGAGTAAACAATTTGGACATTCACTGCCTGTTTCATACGAACAATTGCGCAAGTTTATGTAATCATCAGACTTATTTTCAAGTAGAAGTAAACTAATTTCCAATTTTTTTTTTATTATTCGCTGATTTTGTCAAGCTTTGGATTTATTTTTCATATTTTTGTGTATTCTCAGTTATTTGTTTTCAGTTTTAAACGTAAAATTCTGATGCTAGAGTTATGGCACCTGGCTGCGGAAGTGATTTTACCGATATCATTGCTTAACCTATAATAAAATAAAATCCACTATTTACTACGTAAAATATAAAAACGCAAATTCATTAACTTGAAATTAGCCAAATACACTGACGTCATCCGAGGTCATCAAGATGGCAGCGTTTGACAACTAGCCGGTTTTCTCATAAGAGTCAATGCTAATATTTTCGGAATTCATTTAAATTTGAGAGTGTGTCAACTGTGTTTTTATAATTTGGTAAGTTTGTTACAGTTTCTAGACTGTGTAGATATCTGTAAAACGCACCATAACGTTTGAATATGCTTAAAAAATAATGTTTTCCAATGTGATGTACAGGTTAACTTCGCTGCATCTTATATTATTTGTTTTTCAAATTAATTCTTTGTTAATGTACATCAATGTTTTTTAAATACACTGGCATCTTAATATTATAATATTTTGTATTTTAGGAGAAAATGCCTAAATTTTGTGCTGTTGTGGGTTGCGCAAATCGAAGCACCAGAAATGCGGACAAATTTTATATTCCTTTCGCAGCAATTAGCAACAATAATGGTAAATATATACAGGATGGGGAAAAAGGCGGAAGCTTTGGTTAAAAGCCTTGAAACGAGTGGATTTAACGAAGCCAAAGTAAAGTATTCCTATGTTTGTTCGGATCATTTTATTTTAGGTACAATACCTACCTATTAGATTTACAGTTTCTAACAAATTACTACATTGGTACTCTTTTAGGTAAACCTGCAGATTTGTCGGATGTGGATCATCCTGATTATGTTCCATCACAAAATTTAGAATATCAAAATAAATCCACTCATAATACTTGTAATGTTGAAAGACACAGTTGTTTAAAAAAGAGAAAATTGAATAAAAGTCTCTAGACTTTTGAAGGCACGAGTTTTATTGTGGGTTATTTTACTTACTCTAAAAATAAAAAAGTTTAGAATGGTATTCATTGTTATGGTAGGGACATCGTCTAAACACAAACTAAAATCACTTGCACTCATTGTATAAGGATCTAGGCCGTTTAAATTGTTTAACTTTTATACATATCTGTGTTTGTCTTCGACGGAAAGACATCGTGCATAATTACTTAAATTATCCATACTTTAAAAACAAATCACACACCTTTACTTAAACCCGTCACATTAGCCTCAAACGAAAATATTAATTTCCGATTACCCCCTTAAAACACACGGATGTATTTTGGGTGACGAGGAATTCAGACCAAAACAGCGTTCTGTATTTTTATTGTTATTATGTATTTCTAAACTCAAATCGCCAAAAAAAACACCTTGATACACAGAAAAGATATGAAAGAAGCTATTGACGTGTTTATTTTCTAGATAAATATCCACACTTTTAAATAAAATGCGAAAATGTTAACATTGTCGCTTACGGAGTTTCACGGCGCTTGTCAAACGCTGAGTTCCCGCCACAACATGACGTCACGTGTTATTGGCTAATTTCGGCCTCAACAGAAATCAACTGTTTAAAATTCGAAAACGATAATAAAATATTTTCGTTATGCACCATTCAGTTGACTGTTTACAGCAAAAATGAGTGATGTCATCAATCGTGTCACGGGTACGAAGTTTGAACACGTTTGTAGGACGTTGCAAACACTTATTTCAACATTACTTACCACCGGTAAAGACAATAGTTTGGTTAGTACCTTGCAGAATAATACACTTCTATAATGGTAAAAGGCGGGAAGCGAAAGGCAAAACACAGAATTCCACGTGTTATATCGTGTATGGTCACACACTGGGCTGACTGGTGTGTAGCTGTTGGTTGATTCGTGCCTCGTTTAAACGCGAATTATGCGCAAGCGCCCTTTCCGGATGATGTAATTATAATTTAAAAATTGACAAGTCAAAAATCAAATACATTATCACAAAATCAACATCAGTGCAAAAACTTGGTTATGTTTTGTTTTATCAACTCATTAAAATTGTAATAACACTAATGTTCTTATGTGGATATCCATTGGAAATACGCCATGGAATATTTAGGCATGGAGATCAAATGGATGATCACTTTTGTAAGCTTAAAATACATGCTACGACTTTTTGTCATGGTAAAATTCTTTGAAATGTTCTTTTTCACTCATTTTGTACATTTGCAAAAAATATTTTATAAAGGATATACAATGGATATACCATGGACATAATATCCGTGATGTATACTTACTCAATGGATATCGATGGAAATTCCATAATACATACCTAAAATTTACTGAGCAAAATTTATTATTTTAGAATATTGAAATTTTTTTTCCTGAACAGAGTTTTGGAACTAGAAAACAGATCAAATGAACCAAACGCGGCAAATGTGTTACCTAATTCCATTATTCTGTTTACTGGATGATTAGAAGCCAATCTTGTGTTAGACAAAGCAATTCTCAATGTCTTAACACCACGTTTGTTACATTGTGTGACGACCCGCGTCACTAAATTCGTTCACGGGAAAATTGTAACTAAAAAGACGAATAACAAATCCCCAAAACATAACTCGAAAATTTGCAAATCTTAATTAATTAACACGCATGTCCTAATCGGCATATAGTACCATTCAAATAGATAAACAAACTCAACCACCAATCCCCGAATGCAGGAGCAAAATTCGCGTATTCGCAAATTGCAAATAACATTGCGCTTGCCAGACGTTGCAAAAAACTTATACAGAATAATACTCCATAAACATCGCCAATCGCAATTACTTTCATCTGAAATTGTATCCATACTAAAACGGCTGTAAACGAAACGCAGACGCATAAAAAACAACAAAGAACGCCGTCGCTTCAAACTTACTACGTCATCAACCCAGCAGTGCGTCTGTGCACGCACACTCATCTTAGCTCTCGCTAGACTGATCCCCACTTCATCCCCGGAACTGGGATTTCATCAGCTTCCCATATTTTTACCATATAAGGAAACGGACTTACGACGCATCTTCGCATTTTAATTTAATTTTCTTGCAGTTGATAACTTTATGTTGAATTTTGCCGTTTAAATATGAATCCGTTCTCTGATTATTTTGTCATAGTATTTGGAAACCTCTCATTTTATTTTAATTTAATCATCTCACTCTTTTTTTGGCGCATTTATTTCCCAATGTTTAGCTGCATTTAAAGACTATGACTGTTCATTTTTGCATGTATTTAACTGTACCGTAACCGTTAATTTTTCTCGTGAACAAGTGTTGCGCTCGGCGTATTGAGCTAATCAAAGAACGTAAAAATTCATTTATCTCTCTTTTTACATGTTTATATTCATAAGTTATCGTAGATTTAAGTGCATGATTTTCATTCGTTAATTTTAGTTGTTATTATCAGTGGAAATTTCTCAGGATCCACTGAATTGTTGGTTTTTTATTGTTTTAGTTGTTTTAATCATTTTAATTAGCAGATAAATGCCCAATCGCAGTTTATTAAATAATTAAGTATATACTCGATTTCATAGTTAGCAGTTTTCTAAGTTTATTTATCACGCACGTAATAATAATATTAATAAAGTACTTTATTATCCAACAGACTTAAGAGTCTACGAGGATACATACAACATACAACTCCTTGTTCTTACGTGTTATTAATGTAAGAATAACATAAATTAAATTATTTAATATTGAGCGGACAATATAAATTATAACAACCCAAATTAAAAAATACACTTACAGATAAATTTAAGCAACTGGTACATACAGGGCATTACACGAGTGAGTACGAGCCTGCAAGAATTAAAAATGCAACTCAAAATACGAATTCAAAACTTACTTGGATGTCTTTTTTAAATTTCAAATAGCGCTAAACATAGTTATCCGGGCGTTAGAAATGTCACTATTTGTCAGCATTTGAAATGTGTTCAGATAACGATAAAACGGATCTATCATTTATGGGCAATGTAAAAAGAACGCTTCTTTGGCAGCTAGAATGTATGTGGAACTTTATCTGCAGAGAAAAGCATCTAGCAAGTTGACCACCAATTAAAAAACTAAGGCGGAGAACAGCTACCGGCCCCGAAAATGAGTTTGCTATCTTAGGAATGGTGGAAAATGACCTTCACGTGATTCAAAAAACAGTGGCAGCCGCAGTGTGTGTTAGTGTAGCCTCTGTCAACAGGATTTGGAAAGTCAACAAATTTCATCCCTACCTGACTTGACCTGACCTAGTGCAAGAATTAAAGCCCGCAGATTACGGACAACGATCAGCTCTTTACAATTTCTTTATGTTAATAAAAATCTTTTTGAAATTTCAAATCAATTAACGTTTTTTGTCAAAAGTTAACTGAAGTCAAAATTGCCCACTATGTCTATTTTTGAAAAAAGAATTGATAAAACTTAAAAAAATATCCATGTAAGCTTGGACGGTGTATTGTGGGTTGCAATTCCAATTCAGTCAGGCTCGTACTCATTCGTGTAATACCCTGTATTACGTGAATACACTAAAATATTGAACTAAAGAGAAATGACATTTTTACATTGATGACAAAAATTTTTTGGATGATAAATAAATATATCAATACTAGCTGACATGATATTGTAAGAGCGGCAAATATTATTAATCGGCGCATGGAGGTGTAGTCCAGTCATTTTAGGATAAAAAAGGGATCAATCTCGGAATGAGAGATAATAAGCTGAATTTTTGTATATACCTTAATTTTGGCGTTTTAAAAGTTGTGTCAAAAGTCTCACAAAATCTCGTGTCTGCGTCGTAAGTTATTCAAGGTCAAACATGAAGAAAAACAGTTTTTTGCGATTATCTCGGTTTCTATTGCTCCAGTGATGTTAACATCTATTATCATAATTGTAGAGCACAAAATTTGGGACAAATTTTATTTGAAACATTTTTTCATACGCTCAATCGTTTTTGAGATAGAGAGCAGTGAGCGCGCAGCGCTCATCCATACGTACTGTAATGCAATCAACCGTGAATATCTATGAATACTACCTTGAATTTTGAAAAATTTGTATTATTTATCAATTAATACATTATATTTAAACATTTTACATATTTTCAACATATTCATTGAATAATACTTACCTACTTTGTGTAATTAAAAACGCATTTAATGAAATATTTACTGTATATCTCAATTTATTTATATCTTTAAAATGTGTAAGGTTTTAAATACTTATTTTTTTATCGTGATTATAACTGGAAGGTCTGGAAACAACGATTCAGGGCACCGAAGATGATAACGATGAAACAGAAATTCCCGAACGTCCAGAAGATGACGGTGAAGAAGAAGAAAATTAATACTTTTGTTCTTTAAATTATTAAAGATTTCTAGATTTTCACTGCAATTCAATTTCAATCGTAAGAAATGTACAGGTACTGAACAAAGATAAAATTAAAATACATTAACTCGTTTTACTTCCTTAAATTTTTACTATGAAAAAATTAATATAACTTTTAGATATATAATAATATAACAAGTGTAATATATTATCTAATATATAAAAACTTACACATTTGAAAGATAAAGTACTTAATTATTTTTCTACTTAAAATCTACTTTCAATAAATTAAGATATACATACAATAAGTATTTCATTTAAAGAGTTTTTAATTCCACAAAGTAGGTAAGTATCATTGTATTGAAAATATGTAAAATGTTATTAAATGCAATGTATTAACTGATAAATAATACAAATTATTCAAAATTAAAGGTAGTATTCACAGATATTCACGGTTGATCGCATTACAGTACGTATGGATGAGCGCTGCGCGCTCACTGCCTTCTATCTCAAAAACGATTGAGCGCATGAAAAAATGTTTCAAATAAAATTTGTCCCAAATTTTGTGCTCTACAATTACGATAATAGATGTTAACATCATTGGAGCAATAGA